TTGCATAAATAAAACATTAGCATGATCTAGTTGCAAATCATTAAAATAATATTTGTATTACATAGAAGAAATAAATTATTGAAAATTAAAATTATATTGTACTTACAATATCTTTTTTCAGAAGCACCACTTGGATTCAAATTCTCAACTTGCTTTAAACACCCATGCAACCTTCGTGCCTGAGTAGTTATTATATCTATTCTTGAACGAAGTAGCTTATATTACGATGCTCGTAATTTTGTTGACAGTGTTCATTGGATTTAGCCTCAACTCACGACCAAAAATCATTTGCAGATTGATATCTGCTGGTGATTGGGTCTTGAGTAATGTTTAAACACACTTCACACAACAATGCGTCTTCCACTATGGTGTAACTAGTTGATCTTGGAGTTATTTTGGTCGCAAAGAAAAAAAACATACTATAGATTGTGAGATAAGGGTTTTGATGAAGTGTGATAATTCATTGCATTAGTATATATAGAATGTAGAGGTTGATAAGGAATCCTTAGATTACCCGTTGGAAGGATTTCCTTATCTACACAACCATTGGATTCTTATCTTTTGAGATAAGCGTACTTGTCAGCTACATACAATTTGTGACAGAAGTTGATAAGGAATCATAAGATTACCCATTAGATGGATTTCCTTATTTTCACAACCATTAGATTCTTATCTTTTGAGATAAGCATATTTGTTAGCTACATACAATTTGTGACACAAGTTGATAAGGAATCTTTAGATTACCCATTGGATGAATTTCTTTATCTTTACAACCATTGGCTTCTTATCTTTTGTGATAAACATACTTGTCATGTACTACTTACAATTTCAGACACAAGTTGATAGGGAATCATTAGATTGCCCATGGATGGATTTCCTTATCTTCACAACCATTGGATTCTTATCTTTTGAGATAAACATACTTCTCACGTACTACTTACAATTTTAGACACAAGTTGATAGGGAATCATTAGATTACCTGTTGGATGGATTTTCTTATCTTCCCAACCATTGGATTCTTATCTTTTGAGATAAGCGTACTTGTCACATACTACTTACAATTTCAGACACAAATTGACAGAGAATGATTAGATTGCCCGTTGGATGGATTTCCTTATCTTCACACCCTTGGATTCTTACCTTTTGAGATAAGCTTACTTGTATAAATATGAACAAATTAACACATAAGACGGATCACCATATCAACAAACAAATGAACTTCAATATTGGAGCATCCTCTTACATATCATCGTCTTCTTCTTCTTCTGATGATGCTTTAGTGATGAACACTATAGCACAACTTGATGAAGAAGAAATGATGATGGTGGCACTAAAAACAACAACATGACAACAAATCATTATTTTGGTGAGCTTAATAGGCCTATTAGTCACGGTGGATGAGTTGTTCATGGTCATGTGGTGATATTTAGATCGTGATCGAGAAATGGGAGACCATGATTTGTTCCTGGATTATTTCTCTACAAATCCACGTTACGGAGAAGCATTATTTCGTCGACGATACCGTATGTCGCGGGATGTGTTCTTACAATTTGTTGGTATAGTTAGAAATCATGACAACTATTTCCACCAACGAAGAATTGCAATAGATATACTCAGATTATCAGCTTTACAAAAAATAACAGCTGTATTTCGTATATTGTCTTATGGTGTGACTGCGTATGCAACAAACGAGTACGTTAAACTAGGCGAGTCTACATCAATTGAAAGTATGAAAAGGTTTTGTCAATCTATTGTCGAAATATATGGAGAGCGCTATCTAAGAAGATCTAATGACAATGACATAGCGAGACTTCTTGACATTGGAAAACAATGTGGATTTTCAGTAATGTTGGGAAGTCTTGATTGCACGCATTGGATATAGAAAAATGTCCAACACCATGAGATGAACAATATTCTGGTCGTAGTGGCTCACCAACTATCATCCATGATGCTGTGGAAGATTATGATCTTTGGATATGGCACACATATTTTGGAATGTCAGGTAGTAATAATGATATTAAGGTTTATGAGCATCCAATCTTTTTTCAGATTTAGCACAAAGTATTGCTCCTCCTGCTCATTATATTATTCAAGGAAAAGAGTACAATGTTGGTTACTATTTAGCGAATGGTATATATCCAAAGTGGTGAACACTTGTCCAAACAATTCATCAACCACAAGGTAGAAAGAAGAAATATTCTGCCATGAGACAAGAAGCATGTAGAAAAGATGTTGAACGTGCCTTTGGAGTTTAGCAATCTCGATTTGCAATTATCGCGGGAACTTCACATTTTTGAAAAAAAAGTCTTACATGTATTATTATGCGTAATATGATAATAGAGGATGAACGTGATATACATGCACCCGTTGAAGATATGAGAGATACACCAGTTCCATATGTTGAAGTGGCAGTTGATGAGGCAGCCAAGTTCACTCAATTTCTTACCCGGCATAAACAAATTCACGACAAAAACACTCATATTGAGCTCCGCAATGCTTTAATTGATCATTTGTGGGAACAACTCTCAAATTCTGACAACTAAACTAAGAGTATTTATTTAATTTAATGCTTTAAATTCAAGTAGTATTTTATTTATGACGTATGAATTATTATAATATTATTTCAATATTTAATTTTATAAGGCTTTAGCATGTATTTGTGAAATATTGATTAGTAATATTTTAGCTTGTATTTGTGAAATAACGAGTGAAATGTCAAAAGACATATTAAATGAGGGACTAATGTATAAATACATGATAATTAGAGAATTAAATATAATAATGGTAAAAAGTGAGTAAAAAGAATAAAAAAAAACATATTCCTTTTTAGTGATAAAAATACTGTAAACCGTTCGAGATATAATACTGTATGATGTGATGTTTACACAATTTTAATGTAAAAAATGGTGTAAACTATTGGAGATGACCTATAAAAATAGAATCGATCAAGAAGAGAAATGGAAGAGAGCAATAGGAGAAGAAATGATTCAAATTTCTTCCAGCCCTCCACATCAACGACGGCCATGCGAAGAAGAACGCTAAGGTATTCCTGACTCATATTTCTTCCGGCACAAGAAGGGAAGAATACTAGCCCAGATTTCATCCAATTAAAAAATAAAAAAACATTAGAATAGCCACATAGAAACAATAATGCCACGTCAACTTTCACATCAGTTGGGTAACCGGTTGGTGACCGGCTAGAAAGCTCAATTGGATGTAATTTTTATTAATTGTTTAACCCTGTTTTTCCAAAGAATTAGCAAGAATTTAGTTAACTTTAAAATATTAATCTTATATAAGAATCTCTAACTGGGACATGCAACTTTCACAACAATCCCTTTCCTCTGAGAAGCAATCCCCTTTACCACTATTACAGGCTTACTCAGATGCCTCAGACGGCTTTAACCCATCAGATGAATCATACTTTCCAGATGACTTTCTGGGACATGCAACAGAATATGACCGTCGACCACCTATTGCAGAACAAGATGAAATAAGGGACTCCAAATTCAATAGAGCAATTTGTCGTAAATCTCAGTTTATAACCTCAGATAACTGTCTTCCAACTGACAATTTGAACACTCAGCTCAAAATTTACAAGAAATCCCAGAAGAACAAAAGGCGTCACAGTATGACGACTAGATCTCAGAGCAAACGATTTCCATGGGCCTCGTTATTTATTTTATTTTCTTTCCCTTTATGTTCGTTTTTTTTGCACTGCTTTTTATTTTCACTTTGTACCCTTCAATTTTATCAATAAAATCTATTTTATTTAAAAAAACAAATCTCTAAGTTAAGGGTTTCGCAGCCCTTAGAGCTTTTTTTACATCTTCGGTTATACGAAAGACGACTGGGTTTCTCCTCGGCGATCTTCATCCACGGAAGTCCGCTTCTGCTGTTTGGTGGAGTCGAGCGAGGTTTCGTTGTTACTACGGAGTTGATTTGCTGATCGTGAGGTCGGGCGAGAGCAGGGAAGCAATTTTCTTTTGTCGAGGTGGAGGGGTCGACAGAGAAGAAGATGGACGTGAGGGGTGATGTAGCTACGAGTGCGGGACGAGGAGTCTTGCAAGGACTTCGAGTAGGCCAGATTGCGTTCGACAATGGAGGATCAATTAGCATGGTACCGGTGGTACGACCTCCTCCTGAACCACCACCATGAGTTGTACGAGCTGCTAGAGTCCGTGAAAGTTTTCCTAGTAATTTTTACTGTTTGTCATTTGTTTTCTTGTGTCCATCTTTGTTGTTGGTTTTGACAGTTTGTTTGAGTTTTTAGCCTCTCTTTATGTCATTGGGTATGGTTGGATCTATGGGAACATGTTTGGCTGTGTTAAGCCCAATACATGGTTAGCGATTCGTGTTGCTCTTTCAGGAGTGACTGTCTCAAATTCTGATCATAGGGTTTACAGCCGTAGTTGTTGGAGTTTAGTTGGTGTCAGGTTTATTTTCCCTTTGTTTGATGTAATGATCCTGAATCTTTTGATATGAATAGAGACATGTTTTAATGATAAACAAAAGAATCTCTAACTTAAAATTTTCTAACAAAGTTTATGAAATTAGTATAAAAGGATACTTTAACTTATAAGTGAATTAACTAGTACATATATATTTATGTTTTGTAAAATTAATTTCCCGAAAAGGTAAAATTAGACAATTTTAACGGGGCGGTGGGAGTAAGACGGAGCCGATTGCCATTGTGCCTAAAATAAATAACAATGCAACAAAGAAATTCACTATGCTCTCAGTTCTCATGCATCTTCCAATTTGTGTTTTGTTTTTCATTATTTGGTTACAACAACTCTATTTTTGTTTCTTATTTACTTCTCCATCCGTAAAATTTGGTTAAACTTGAGTTGCACAGAGTGATACTCTGTATCAAAATAGAATGGTGTGGTTGAAATTAACAAATACTTTTGAGACGTGCGAGTAACTATGAAAATTTGACAATTCAATAACACAAGTTTTCCAAAAACTTAGAAGAAGACATTGTTGTTTTGGTGCAGAGTATCCTATTTGCTTGCGTGGTCTACTTCCCTTCATCATTCCCAACGCAAGTTGATTACTTGGAGGATAGCCCAACAACTGTGGGGAATATAAGCTCCATAAACACATCTTCTTACGATTTTGATTCATCTTTCAAAGTGAGCTTGCCACCGGCCATTCTACAATCCTTCACTTACCCCGCACCCTTGCCGCAATGGCAAACAGGTAATCAATCTTTTTAGACATGAAGCATAGTATAATACTAACTATCGGGTGAGGTGTTCCCTGGCCCTCATCCAAAAACTCTCGGGTTTTGGTTTAATACCGGGTTTAAAAAAATATTAAAGTTTGTGGATAAAAATGTGATTACTACAATTGGTAATATAAAATTGAAAGTGGTCATGATCAATGAATCGTCCAATGTCTTTATTTGATATCATTTGGATTGTTTGTTCGTTTTTAGGCGCAGCAGGAGCATTCGCAAGTGGAGCAATTGACCTTGGAGGATTAGTAGTGTCCCAAACAAGGAACCTCACTCAGGCGTGGAATACCAGCACGGGCAATGGCGCCACTTTCTTCGAACCATCGTCGCTGCCAGAGGGATTCTTTATTCTGGGATCATATGCACAACCGAACAATGTCCCGCTTTTCGGAGGCGTTCTCGTAGCGAAAGACATCACGGGCCGTTCATTAAGAAAACCGACCGACTACGCCCTCTTTTGGTGTAGCCAGAATAACAGCAAGGCAGGCTCTGATACCACACAGCCTGGCTACTTTTGGTTGCCTAACTGCACGGCAGGATATGTAGCCGTTGGATACCTTGTGACAAACACATCTAATAAGCCTCCCCTTGAGAAAATCAGGTGCGTCCTTTCCAATTTCACAAATGCATCTGTGACCGCCGGTGATCCGATTTGGAGCGTGGATGGGGTGTCAATATCCACTGCCATGCCGCAAGAGCGCGGGGTCCAAGCCCGCGCCCTGGCCAGCTGTTCATTCATGATTCAAGCCAGTTCGACCAATCTTTCTTCACTGCCGCCGCAGCCAGCTTGCTTGAGAAACGCAAACCAAAATTTCTCATGTGCAGCGATGCCAAGCAAGTCCCAAATCCAGGCTTTGATGGAAGCCTACGGTCCTTTATTTTACTTTCACCCGAACGAGAAATTCCTGCCTTCTTCGGTGGAATGGTTTTTCCAGAACGGGGCTTTACTACGGTGGAAAAATGGATCATCATCAGAAGGGGGAGTTCCAGTCTGGCTGAACGGCTCGAACCTTCCTTTAAATGGAACCGGGTACTGGTTGGACCTCCCGGCTAACGCTACAGAGAAGCAGAGAGTGAAGAAAGGTGACGTAGAGAACGCGACGACCTATGTACACGTGAAGTCAATGTTTGGCGGGACGTTTACCGATATGGCGGTTTGGGTGTTCTACCCCTTCAATGGCCCCGCCTTTGTGAAAATCGGGAAAGAGACGATCTCTTTGGAAACAATAGGAGAGCACACGGGCGATTGGGAACACGTGACGTTAAGGATTAACAACTTCGACGGGGCGTTAGAAAGCGTGTTCTTCTCACAGCACGCGGGAGGCGTTTGGGTAAAGGCCTCCCAGCTGGAGTTCTGGAATGGCACAAATAAACCGGTGGTTTATGCATCCCTGCACGGGCATGCTGCATATCCGAAAGCGGGGGAGAACTTGCTAGGGAGTGGATTGGTGAAGATAAAGAATGCGGCTGCGATTGGAAAGGTGTCCATGGACACGGGGCTGAACTTCACGCTTCTGTCCGCGGAGTGTTTGGGCGACGACGCTGTGGTTGAGCCAAATTGGTTGAACAGTTCTTTAGCATGGGGTCCGACTGTTATCTATGCCATTGCAAAGGAGCTGAAATTTCTCCAACATAAACTGCCCCCAGAGCTTATGCATGAGCAAGGACCGTGTAGCCCAAAGCTCAAAGAATCTTGGAGTCTAGATGAAAAGTGTTGGAATTAACCAATAAGCCATTAACCATATACTATCGTATATAATCAAATGTTATAAGAGAGTTGTTGTTTGATTGTTGGAACAGTTCATTTTTACCACTGTTTGATGAATGTCTCTGAATCTCTGATTATATTTAACTACGTGCGTCGTGCGGATATGGATTTGAACTTATCTCCAAACTTTTACACAAACTACATGCATCCAGTGTTGTATTGTAAGTTCATATAGCTTAGGGTACGTTTGGTTTGGGGTTATCATATATGCCGGCCCGAATCTAATGTCCGAAATGTAAGATATCCGTTTGGTTCACAGGTTCGAAAATTTTTGGGGAATGATACATTCCCAAAATGATAATAATGATATCTCATTGCCGGTAATGTCAAACCCATCTTCCCCTTTGTTTATCTTAGATTCCCTCCTGACCATAAATCTTCTTCCAAAAATACCCATCCTTATGCACAATCTAGTACGTGGAATCGTGGATAGGCAGGGGTGGACCGTAGTACAGACCCAGGGGGGCGGTCAGCCCTCAACAACAATTTTTTTTAGTATATATATATAATAAAAAATAATTTTCGCTCTCCCAAAAAAATTTTTGTTTAGGTTACCGCCCTCTCAACACAAACTTCCTGGGTCCGCCCTTGTGGATAGGCCAACGTCTGTCTTCAGCGAGTCAAGGAAAGTCTATCTTTTCTCATTCTGCTACTATGTCGATTAAACTCAGTTGTAATATAACAAATTAATTCATGAGTCTTAACAACTTAGTTTGGATATTAGCGTGTCCACTAAGTTATGTTTAACAACTTAGTGAACTTATTAATATTAATTTGTTATATTTGCGTGTCCACTAAGTTGTTAAATAATTTATTAAACATTTTAATTCAATAAAAAATCAAATGCAGAAGAAAAATTAAAATAATGTTACGTAACTCATAAATTTTAAGTTCACTCCAAAAAAAAACTTATAAATTGTAGGGAAAATGGAAACTAATAATCCAACCTTTTAGCGGTCTTCTTACAATAATCCAACCTTTTGGTTATTCATGAATAATCCAACTTTTGCACCTCATCTTCATTCACTGGTCTCTGACCGGTTGATGACCTGCTATTTCAAGCTATTTTCTTATCTTTGCAAATCATTATATCATAAATCTCATCTTTCACAAAGATAATATTTTGCAAAGATAAGAAAATAACTTGGAATAGGAGGTCATTAACCAACCAGGGACCAATGAATGAAGATGAGGTGCAAAGGTTGGATTATTCATGAATAATCAAAAGGTGGGATTATTGAAAGAAGACCGCTGAAAGGTTGGATTATTAGTTTTCATTTTCCCTAAATTGTAACATTCACTTTCTTGTTTTGCTGCAGCTGCTTAAATAATAATGTGTTCACCTTTATTTATTGATGGGTGTCACTATGCATTTACTTAAACAAAATTATTAATAATGTTCATTAATCTTCGACATTTGTGCAATTAAACATACTTTTCTTAAAAATAATTCACTTAATTTTGATTGTTTATTATTAAGATATTTTATTGTTTTCTTAAATTTATAGTACTTTAGTCGTAGGTTGTTAGGGTGTATAAGTTTGTTATGTTAAGAGAAAATATGTAAAGGACATCAAAGTAATTCACCGAATATGTAATACGAAGTATAAGATATCACTCAATCAAACAAATTAATGTCACATTCACTTAGAGCCCGTTTGGTAGCACCAAAATCGGCTGTTTTGGCTGATTCTGCTGAAATTTATGATATTCTGGCTGGAGTGGCTGTTTTGGCTGATTCTGCTGATTTACGAAAAAAATATTTTAAAAATATATTTTATTAATAAATTAAAGAAAAAAGGGAAAACTGTCAAATAGGTCCTCGAACTTTCATAAAAAGGTCAATTAAGTCCTTCTATAGGAGGTTCTGTCCGGCCGTCACGATTTGGGGCAGTTCCCGGTGGAATTTTTTGATGAAATTTTTTGAGCATCTTATTCATCAAGTCTAGTTTACTCATACCAAATTTCAGCTAAATATTTAATCGGGAGCGCATTCAAATTAATTCGAGAATGCAAAAATGTGCAGTTATCTTCAAGAATTAATTTGAATGTGTTCCCGATTGAATTTTTAGCTGAAATTTGGTATGAGTAAACTAGACTTGGTGAATAAGATGCTCAAAAAAGTTATTCAAAAAATTCCACCGGGAACTATCCCAAATCGCGACGGCCGGACAGAACCTCCTGTAGAAGGACTTAATTGACCTTTTTATGAAAGTTCGAGGACCTATTTGACAGTTTTCCCAAGAAAAAATTATATGTAAAAATAGCTAAAATGGTCCTCTACAGTAACTTCAGCCAATACAGCCAGAAAAGTAACTCCAACCTTACTTTTTCGGCTTATTACACAATTCAGCGCGCGAAAGTAAAAGTTACGTGTTTGGTGAAAAAGCTGGCTGATAAGCCTGATAAGTCGAAAATATAGTTCTCCAAACGGGCTCTTAATCTTAACCAAACACACATGAGATACAAATTGATAACATTCTCATCAATGTAACATGCCAAGTAATCTAACATTCCCGTTGTAATTTAACATTCCGTGAACCAAACTGATCCTTAGGGTTTTACTCTATCATTGATGAAAATTGCTGCAGTTGAGCTTCCTGATTTTGGAGCAATCTAATTGCAGTAAAGTAATGAGATGTGTGAACTGTGAATGAAGCAGCGGTTGTCACCTCGTTTGGCCAAACTCAACCTTACCAGCAGAGCTAAAATAAATCAAAACTGAACCCTATAGATTGCATCTGGTTGTAATTCATCCAAATCACATTAAACCGAACACAACAAAAACCACGTGAAATCGAATAATTGAAATTTTAATATATTCTTTAAATACTAGTATAATTGAATCATTTGAATCAAATCTAATTAGATTGTACCAAGATGAAAACACACTTTGATTGTTACTTCGTATAATCGTATTTGGTAACTATTCTCCCGATCCGTTTCAAACTAATTTGAAATCAAAAGCCGACCATGAATGCTCCAACATTAAAAAGAAGACCTTTTGAATGCAGCATACCAACACACCATAATACCGGAGTATAAAATTGACTAGGTATGTTTCTTTTTATTTGTTCTAAAATTATTGCTAATTTTCTTTTGACAAACAATAATCATGTTAATGCATAACAACATATAATAATACTATGTTAGTTCTTTAACTCTTTTTAACTCTTCTCACCCTCATCTATCATGGAGATTAGCTACATATCATCACCACCATCATCATCATCATCCCATTATCATCATCACCTCATTGTTACAAAGGCTCCCACCTACGGTGGGGTAAGGAGGGATCGGATGTACGAAGTCTTTCTCCTGTACTAAAGTAGGGCTGGGACCGGTTCGGTTCTTACTCAAAATAAGTGGAACCATTATAAAAGTTTTAACTAATGAAATCGGTTCGGTTCCTATATAAAAAATCAAGAACCGTTATGGAACCGAACCGGTAGTAAACGGTTCGGTTCTTCCTTTTATCGGTTCCTAGAATAATTTTTTCTCGTCTAAGAATTAACACATAATTTACTTTTTACAAACAACATAAACACGTCGAAAATTCAAAACACGAGTATTAAAATTTTATTTGAAGCTCTAATCACTTCAAACATCAAAGCTCAAACTTAACTAATGAACTTTGAACACTTAATAGAACAAAAGTGATTTAAATTTTCATGTAATAAATGAAACATTAAAAATCGTTGTAGTGTCGGAGCGATGAAGGTTACTCATCATCATAGTAGCAAGAATATGACGCCTACTTCAAGTATTTCAAAACATAAAAAAAAAAGACATTAAGTTTGCATGTATAGATATAAAAAACATTATTACATTCTATTGATTCATAATAAATCTAATAATTAGAAATATCATGAAAATAGTAAAGTAAAATATGTGCAATCAACTACAAGTTATTTGAGTTATTTTATATTTATAAAATTTATGTGATGGAACAAAACTTGATTTTTAGAAAGGAGTTTAATGTATTATATCAACCTCATGTACAATATTTATTACTTCTTTTCCATTGATTAAATTAGAATTGTTAGTTAAATATCTTATATTGTTTTATTATAGTGGTTGTGGTGGTGGTTATTATTGCTATTATATTATTACTAGTTGTTCGACGCGCCTTGCGCGACAGAAAAATGCCCAATACAATTTTGACATCATGATATATCCCATCTACAAGACTAACAATTCATGTAGAACATTTTTCAACAATTTTGACATATTAATCCATTTCATATAGTGATCATAATATTAAGACTGTTTGCACAAATAAGTCTTTTTTAGATTGGAGAATATACTGTATGCAATGGATTAATATGTATAAATTGTTGAAAAGTGTTCTACATGGATTGTTAGTCTTTTAGATGGAGATATATTGACTAAAAATGTGAGGTACATTGTTGTTGAAAATAATAGAAAAATGATTGTCAACTTGCCATCTCTTAGGTGTTACCACGGAAGTAATTCTTAAGGTATGATCAAAATAACAACAATGGATAAACACGTAACTTAATAACCTTTGGAATGATTATGGTCTACGTTTCATTTAGCACGCGACTCCAGAAGTTATAATTATATTTAAATATTACTCCGTATATCACAGTGACCATAAAAGTATAGTCATATAATTTCAGTCAAATCATTGTAAAAATGTTATACTACGTAGTTCACAAAAATCACTTCTTGAAAAAAGAGATGAAATACGGAGTATCTGAAAGAAGAAATGAGCTTTAAAAAAAATAATGACTACTATATTAATCAAATAAAAGGTAGATATAAAAAGGTGTCCTTCATGCAAAGTGACAACATTTTATCAATGAAGTAGCTATATTGATTTTGCAAGTGACCATTTAGTTATTTTTATACTACGTAACTGAGTACTACGTATAATTTAAGTAATATTTCGAGGAAAAATCTTAAAACTAATCACTATATTTAAATTTTGAATTCAAGTAAACACCTTTTCCCAAGCTCGATTCCAAGTTATGGTAGTTCTAAAGTGCGACTTTAATTTTTGAAAATAGTTTATTAATTAGATAATTGACTGCCCAAAACATGGTATCAAATATTTATACTTCTTATCTTACTATTGCAAACTATTCTCTCCATCACATAAAATTCTTCTCACTTATATTTTTGGGATGTTCCAAGATATTTACTCATATCTCTTTTTGGAAAGTTTTGTGTAACTGACATTCATTTACTTTTTTTTATGCAATTACAATCATACATTTTTTTTCTTTATTCTCAATTTCTTAAACTATGATTCAAGTCAAATAGGGAAGAATATTTGAACAGGGAGTAATTTGACTTATTACTCTTTTTACCGACTTTGACTTATTAGTTGGTGTCCTATATTTTACAGAATTCCATACAACATAACTTATTGTGTATTTTAAACTATAAATAAGTTGTTTCATGTTTGTGTAGATGATTAGGGGAGATCTATGTATGGGTTATGGTAGGCTGAAGCCCAAGGCAGTTTAATTTTTTTTCAACTTTTTTAGTGTATTTTTTTTAATTTTTCATATCTAGCCCAGTTCCATAATGTTTAAGCGTAGTATAATTGCATTTCAGTTCAGGGTATCCCAGATTCTTGGATCCCCTGTAGATGATTATGTTAATTTAACGTATTATATGTTACGTTCGGAACACTAATCATTCTGTGTGTGATTTTTAGTACGTGAATACAAAGTAAAAGGGCCAACATATTTTGCACCAACAAACTATTACTACGCACTAACGCACTTAGTTGTAAAATTCGAAAAAGCTGATGCATAGTGTTACTAATTTATTCTTCACTTCTAGAGGTTTTAGATATTCTTCACAAAGTAAAAGACTGTTTTTCGGCTTATCAAACTTATCAGCCAACTTTTTAACAAAACACGTAACTTTTGCTTTCGTGCGCTGAATTGTGTAATAAGCGGAAAATGTAAGGTTGAAATTACTTTTCTGACTGTATTGACTGAAAATACCGTAGATGACAATTTTAGCTATTTTTACATATAAATTTTTCTTTATTTTATTAATAAAATATATTTTAAAAATAATTTTTTCTTAAATCAGCAGAATGAGCCAATGCAGCCACTTCAGTCATAACTTCATAAATTTCAGTAGAATCAGCCAAAACAGACGATTTTGGTGCTACAAAACGGGCTCATTGTGTACTTACTTGCAACTCTAATTAGTGGAGATCCATGTGGCGACTAATTCTGTAAACCGTTTCATTCCAAATGAAAAAAATAAAAGCTATACTTATAATGTAAATATGACGTAGAGAATTATTTAACATTGTAAATGGAATGAAAAGGCGAATTAAAGCAATTAATACATACTCGTACACGTTAACGGAGAAATAAAAGGTGTAGGCAACATGAGGGGATATATGGTTAGACGTTAACAGAGAAATAAAGATTAAAAATGAATGGTACACCGAGTATACCAAAATGTACAACTACATGTTGCTTGAGTTTTACACCAACATTTTTTTTATACCTTAAATGCCCTAACCATCATTGGTGTTTATAAGATTTTAAGATTATTATTATTATTATTATTATTGTTACTACAACTACTACTATTACTACTACTACTACTAATAATAATAATAATAATATTTTATTTTTTTTATTTTTTTAATAACGGTTCCTTAACGGTTCCATGCACATATTTTTAATAGGAACCGGGAACCGAACCGTTATAACCCGCTTCGGTTCGGCTCCTACAAATGAGGCATTAATTGTTAACGGTTCGGTTCCTAGATGTTGTTAACGGTTCGGTTCCAATCGGTTCTACGGTTCCCGGTTCCGAAATCCCACCCCTATACTAAAGTACAGAAAGACTGTTTTCGGATGACCCATAGTGAAGCGTAGACAGTTTAGTGAGTCATTATGTTTATATTGTTTTCTTTTGGACTGAAACTTACAGGTCCGGTCTGTTTAATTCTGGTCTAGTCTAGTCTGAATTGATCTGGTAAATGTCCGATCTCTGTATATTTTATGACTGTCCAAGTCTGGTCTGATCTGATCTGTTTAAGTATGATCTGATCTAATCTGGTCTAAGACTTAAAATAGTCCAAAAACCATATGTATTCATAATATTCCCAAGCAAAAAATAGTGAGCATTTGACTTCATTACAAATGGTGAAAAAGAGATGGAAGTCTTACTTTAATACATAATTGAATGACAATAAAGTGCAAAAGTATCATGTTTTAGTTTTTAAACTTTCCCCTCTTCAAGAGCTTGTATATACTTGGATCTTTTGGGAGATCCTTTGAACTTCCATAACAAGTCTTGACCTCTTTGAATTTGACACTAATATTTCTAACCTTTTGAAATTTGTAAAAATGCAAAGCAAAGATATTTAATGTATTTGGATGGATGTTTGAGATGACGGCAATAATAGCTAATTAAGAATAGCAAGGTTCTGGGAAGAAACACAAGAGTCATCGAAGGAAACTCCTCACTTTTTCCCCAATGAAATGTAAATATATATACTACGTATATATGATCATCCAAAGTACTATGTACATCATATGGACAAAATAACATCAAAATGTACGCTATCCCAAGGAAGGATACTACATCACCTCAAAAATACTACTCTACTAGAGCATCTACACAAATACCATCACAAAATATAGATTATGAGGGTTCAAAAACTAATCATATGATACGGGTATATAGAGTAGAGAACTTTATACACCACATGCTTGATTTGCGCCAAAATCTCCTCCACTTTGGGTTTAGCTCCATCAAATTGGATTACATTCCTAACTCTCCGAATCCAATAAACCGTGTAGCAAAAGGTTGTCCTCATTGCTTTGGCTCAAATATGTGCTCCTCTATGCTATCTTTTAAGCCATTTGGCCACACTTGAGAGTGTAGTCATCTGCCCCGTGATCCCAAGCCAAACCTTCACCATGTTCCATATCATCCCTGTAAAAGGACAAACAAAATAGGTGTTGTAACACCGTCCCCAAATGTATTTACTTTCAAGTGAATATTGTATTTTAACCTTATTGAAAAGGTTAACGAATTTATGATGTCCCGAATTTTTATTAATTCTTTCGCACGAATAGTAAATTCGCACGTGGGGCCCGCACCGGGAGCGGGGGCCGCCCGATAGTCCCGGGACCACATAAATTATTCATCTCGGCCTAGATAATAATTATATGGTGGTGGATAACTCATTTGAGCCATGGACAGGTCCAGAGTTGACCGATTGGACAAAAGAGGCCCAAATACCAGTATTGGCAATTTAACCGTTAAAAGCCCGAAATTGAATTTCGGGGACTTATAAACTAAAGTTGGGGAATGAATATTCATTATAAGGGTCATAATGGTGGAAAACACATAATATATTTTATTTGACCCGATAAAATAAAATATAATTAAAACAGTCCGAAAAATACAACTTTCGGGACAAAGTGTACACTTTTGGGCAAAAAGGGTTGACCTCCCACATGGGTGGGGGCCAACCCACGATTTTAGACACTCCATGAGGAGTCTTGGTCGGCTGGAGAGGCATGGGAGGGAGTGGGAGGTGATTGGAATAGGATCAAACAATTGAGGTGGGCCTCTCCCACACCACTCATACATTGGAGACAAAAGAGACACCCATCTCTTCCCTCCTTCATTCACTCGGCCATACACTCAAGAGGAGAAGGAAATCCCAGAAAAATTACCATCTTCCATAGCCAAGAACAAGCAAGCTCAAGGAGGTCCAAGGGAAGGATTTTTGAGAAGGAAAAACTAGGTGGATCAAGGTAAGGACCTTATAATAACTTCTCCTCTAGTATTTGATTATCATATGAATTATATATCATATGAAGAACCTTGAGGGTTGTTCTACATGATTTAAGTGTAGAATGATGGGTTGGAAGGTGGTTTCATGTCCAAAAACGGACTTAGGAGCCAAACCGACAAGTTCACCGGGAAATAACCTTTTAGAGTTTATTTGTATTGATTAAGGTTTTATGATGTTAAAACCTTGTTAGGGACTTGATTTAAGCATTTTCGAACCTCGCCGGAGTTTCGCCGGAGTTGGTCAAAGTTCGCCGGAAAATAGTCAAAGTTCAACCGGGAAGCGTAGAACGCGTGTGAGCTCACTTAAGGTGAGGATGACCGACTATATTGCTGATAATTATTGGGTTAATTTCATAAGATTACCTAAATGAATTATATGTGTTTGGCATGATGTATTTATAATAATAAAATGCCTAAATGAGATTCTTATTGATTATAAGCAAAAATGCATAATATACGAATTTATGAATAAATTGTGTATGATTATGTGTTATGAATACAATGGTATAATAGTTGTAAACTATAAACTAAATTGTGATAAATATACTTTTACCTCATGTAAGGAAGTCATGGAAGGATAAAAGTGATATTTTGATATTAGAGCCAAGTTATACTTGAATGTGGAATTTAATTGAGATATTCAAATTATTATGAACTCAAGTTACATTTGGAGTAGGCCTTAAGGGTTACTCAAAATTGATGAAACCTAGACTAAGAAGTGGTTTAGGGATTAGTTGACGTGACTATGAGCCGAGCTCTAGCACGTGGTAGCATGACTATGAGCCGAGCTCTAGCAAACGTAGGGTGACTATGAGCTGAGCTCTAGCACAAATTAGTATGACTATGAGCCGAGCTCTAGCAAACGTAGGGTGACTATGAGCCGAGCTCTAGCACAAATTAGTATGACTATGAGCCGAGCTCTAGCAAACGTAGGGTGACTATGAGCCGAGCTCTAGCACAAATTAGCATGACTATGAGCCGAGCTCTAGCATGAAGGAACATGAGTTAAGTACAAATGAATAACATCTTGGATTGAGGGTCTTGGAAGTTGAAACTTTGATTATACTTAGTATAGTTGTCATTGTACTTGTCAAATGCTTCCAAGTACTGACCTCCCCTTCACGGGGGAGGCCACCTCACAGTTTCAGGTAGGGAGTAGAGCTTGCTACTACCGCTCGTTGCTTCGGGGAATTCAAGGAGGAAGGCGTGGTTCGTGCTTCTTCTGTTTCTGTTTTGAAAACAATTTAAATAATGTTCATGGATATTATTTCGAATATTTATTTGGGGGCTTGTATGCCCGTGGTTGCCACGTGTGGCTTGAATATTTGTAATTATGTTTCCGCTGCTTAATTAAATATTTTACATTATGATGGTTTATGGATGTACTATGTGTGAATGGTATTCAAGACGCCTAGTATAGTATGGATGAGTTGGACTGCGGTTGACTATTCGTACTGTACGGCGGGTTGTTGACGTGTCCGGTAGGTCCGGGGCGTGACAATTTAATTGGTATCAGAGCCTTAGTCCGTAAACTTCATAACGAAGCTTCAAAACTCCTTTTTGAAAACGATTTTGCAAACCATGAGCATAAAGTTTTGTACTTATGGAACTTTTGGTACTTGAGTTGCAAGGTCTCTAATTGTTAAGATGGTACCCTTAACAATTGGTATGGCGGTGATTTAAGCCAAAAGATGTCTTTAAGTACCTATCTGTCACTTGACAGTTGATACGAGTCTAATGGCTCATTCGAAACTTCTTTCAGAAATGGAGCCAATTGGTAGAATCACTAGGAGGAACCCGATGGGTCGTGTACCGGGTGGGTCCGAACGCGGCAGCCGGGGGTCCACTAGGGTGTCAAGGGGAAGGGGCCGTGGAGGCCAACAACAGACCGTGAGCGATGGCCACGTGGACACCGAGAGTGAGACTTATTGGTCCTATGAGGACTCAACTTATAGACCGGAGACCGAGCCAGTGGAAACCCCATATGATGGGGGGGATGATGATGTGAGTGAAGAGAGCGAAGATGATGGCACTCTTGGGAGAATCGAGGCGCTGGTCCAACAATACCACCGGGAGCGTGAGGAGAGGAGACAACGCCGAAGGCGCCGAGCGGGGCAACCTTCGGGCATGGCTTCAAGAGGGGGAAGTCATGGTGCTTCTAGGGTCCATGTTGAACCCCATGGAGGCCAAAATGCTGGAGGTCCAACCATAAGGATCTCCAAATTTATCAAGGAAGCAAGAGATTTGGGATGTAAACCGTTTGACGGGACGGGGGACATCTCTGTGGTGGCCGAGTGGATCAAAAGATTCAACGAAGCGGCCCTTGACATGCAGCTGCCACCCAACATGAAACTGAGGGTGGCAATAAGATTGCTTGAAGGCATGGCGTCCACATGGTGGGACGGAGTCAAAGGGAAGTACGGCAAGGCCGTCACTTGGGAGAACTTCCGACATGAGTTCTTCAACCAATACTACTCCGACTTCGAGGTAAACATGAAGAGGAGGGAGTATACAAACTTGACACAAGGAGGTGCATGTACGGTGAAGGAACTTGAGCACAAGTTTAGAAAGCTTGCCGAATTCATACCGGAGTACATATGTGATGAGAACCGGATGGTGAACCACTTCTGGGATGCCTTGGACCTTGACATACGCGAGAGGGCAACACAATTGCCTAATATGACGTTTAGTCAAGTGGTTGAACAAGGCCTGAAGGGAGAGAAGGAGTGGGAGGAAAGAAAGCTAAGGAATGCCGAGGAGGCGAAGAAAAGGAAGTGGGAAAGCCATGGCCCCCAAGGTTCCAACAAGAAGGGGAACCATGGGGGAGGCGGATCGTTCAGGGCACCGGCACCGCCATCAAAAGGGAACCCGGCCTTCAGCGGGCACAACTCGGGCTCACAAGCGTCAACGGCGCCAAGGTGTAGGAATTGCAACCGGAGCCACGCCGGTAAGTGTCGTGATCCACCACGGTGCTACCAATGCGGGAGCACAGGGCATATCAAGCCCAACTGCCCTCAACTTGGTGGGAACCGAGGGGCGGGATCAAGCGGCCCTACTACGGCAAGTAAGAACCGAACCGGAGCACCTCATGCCAGTACGGGCCAAGGGGGAGCAAGCACGAGCAATGCGCCGTCCGTTAACCAAGGAAGGACCCAATCAAGGGTCTACGCAATGACGGAGGCGGATGCCCGAGCTAACCCAGATTCGGTTGCAGGTACGACCGCTTAACTTCCCGTATTTTACCCATTCCTCATCCATAAATTGAAGTTATAAATCCTAGAATCCAGGTGGGAGCAGACGTAAGATTGAAATGGGAAAGGAGAGCAAAACCATGCTACTACCCGACCGGGTAGGGCAATAAACCCGACCGGGTAGGACAAGTTTTTGCCCTCGTAAACCTTCTGGATCGCATACCCGATCGGGTTTGGTAATGAACCCGACCGGGTAGGCCAAGTTTTTGCACTCATAGGTCCACTGGAACACATACCCGACCGGGTATGGTGGTATACCCGACCGGGTTTGTCAAAAATTTTCTGCCCGAACCCACTGGAACTTATACCCGACCGGGTATAGTATGTTACCCGACCGGGTACACCTCGAAGTGTTCGTCAAATGAAAAAGTTGTCTTCATGAAAGTTGTAGATATTTTCATTGTCTAAATGATGGAATTTGAACCGAACGATTTGGTTAAGTATGTGAAGAGATATGATCAAAACGGTGAGACAGTGTCAATTTATATCTCAACTGCAAACGCCAACCATAATTGGGGGATTTTGCCCACTTTAAGGACATAATTTCGCATTATTTTCTTCGTAGGATTGGTCGGTATGTTAGAGAGGTATCTTACATGGCTTATAAATGTAGGAACACTAAAGATTAATGGGAGATGTGCGAGAATCCTCATCGATACCGGGGCGCAACGATCATTTGTGAATGAGGCATTCGCCGGGGGATTCAACGTACCCCTGGTACCGATGGCTCAAGCCCTATTGGTATCCACACCCCTAGGGGAAGACATCGAGAGAGATAGCCACTATCCATCGTGTGAGGTGGAGGTGGAGGGCCAAAACTTGTCGTGTGATTTCGTGCCGCTGAGTATGATTGAGTTCGATGCAATCCTGGGGATGGATTGGCTTGAGAAGCATCATGCTAGGGTCGATTGTTACACGAAAGTACTTGAACTCGAAGGCAATGAAGGGGTAACCTTACGCTTCGAGGGGGATAGGGCAAAATCCAATAGTTGTATCATATCCGCTGTGAGGGCTAAGAATATGATGAGGAAGGGATGTCACGCATATCTAGCGTATGTGGTGGACAAAACCAAAGAAGAGACGAGCATTGATGATGTTAGGGTAGTATGCAAGTATCGGGACGTCTTTCCTAAAGACTTACCGGGACTTCCACCCGATAGGGAGATTGAGTTCGTGATCGAAGTCGAGCCTGGCACCAAACCAATCTCCATATCGCCATACCGTATGGCACCCGCTGAACTTAACGAGTTAAAAACCCAATTGCAAGAGCTTTTGGATAACGGTTTCATCAGACCAAGCCACTCCCCGTGGGGAGCACCAGTCCTTTTTGTGAAAAAGAAGGATGGAACACTTCGAATGTGCATTGACTATCGTCAACTGAACAAGGTCACAATCAAGAATAGGTATCCTTTGACTAGGATTGATGACTTGTTTGATCAACTACGAGGAGCAACCGTGTTTTCAAAGATTGACTTGAGGTCGGGGTACCATCAATTGAAGATTAAGGAGGATGACATACCGAAGAGTGCTTTCCGCACGAGGTATGGGCATTTTGAGTTCCTTGTTATGTCGTTTGGGTTAACAAACGCCCTGGCGGCATTCATGGACTTGATGAACCGAGTATTTCACAAATACTTGGACCGATTCGTGATTGTGTTCATTGATGACATCTTGATCTACTCAAAGAGTGAGGAAGAGCATGAGGAGCACTTGATACTCGTTCTTGAGACGCTACGGGAGAAGCAACTCTATGACATGTTTTCTAAATGTGAATTTTGGCTTAAGGAGATTGGCTTTCTCGGGCATGTGGTTTCAGGATCGGGGATTGCTGTTAACAAGAAGATAGAAGCCATCACTGAATGGGAAAGGCCAAAGAACGTCAAGGAAATTCGTAGTTTCCTTGGATTGGCAGGATACTATAGAAAGTTCGTGGAGAAGTTCTCTGTTTTGGCATCACCGTTGACGAAGCTCACTCGAAAAGGAGCTAAGTTTGTATGGGATGACAAATGTGAGAAAGGGTTCACGGAACTGAAGGAGAGACTGACTGAGGCACCGGTACTTGCATTACCCAAACAGGGTATGGGGTACGATGTCTATAGTGATGCGAGCATCCAAGGGCTTGGATGTGTGTTAATGCAGGAGGGGAGGGTAATCGCCTATGCTTCACGACAGTTGAAGAAGCATGAGGTAAATTATCCTACTCATGATTTAGAGCTCGGGGCAGTGGTGTTTGCGCTCAAGATATGGAGACATTATCTCTACGGAGAGACATGTCACATATACACTGACCATAAGAGCTTGAAGTACGTGTTTACTCAGAAAGAGTTAAACATGAGGCAGAGACGGTGGATGGAGTTGATAAAAGACTACCATCTAGTGATTGAGTACCATCCAGGCAAGGCAAATGTGGTGGCAGATGCTTTGAGCCGGAAGAGCTCATCTGGGGCATTGATAGCTAATTTGAGGGCATTAAGAGCCCAACTAGAGGTGTCCAGTAATGGTGCCTTATTGGCACGGTTTGAGGTGAGACCTACTGATGGATAGTCTACCCGGGGGGTATCTTATCCTAGGGGTTATTGCGGAAATAACTAGAGAGGAGTCAGAGCAAATAGGAGGAGAGAGAGTCGATTTTATTAAATGAACTCGGGATGTGGAGCTGAGATGTAGATTGTGTTTTACAAGGAGAAATGGGCTGCTATTTATAGCAGCAATAAATGCGATGAGAGGACACGTGTCAGTAATCCAACGGCCGAAGGGTCACATCAACCGGTTGGCACCGGCAGTGGTACGTTTACCGCATTGAATGCGGTTGGCGGATGTGACGTGGCATTAAATGCGGTGGTTGGCTGTCTCTAAAAGGGAATCTTCGATGATTGGATGTGCTTGGCCGAGGGCTCCTTGTGTTGCCGAGGGCTCCATGTAGCCGAGGGTCCCCGTGTAGCCGAAGGCACTCACGTAGCCGAAGGCCTCATGTGACCGAGGGCTATGATGCCGAGGGCTTGACAATGCCGAAGGCTCATGTTTTTTGCCGTTTTTTTCCCAGTCGCTTCGCATGGTCGAATATGGCGGTTCTGTGAGTTTTGGAGCCTTCGGCCAAGGAGGCCGAAGACATCCCTGTGTGTACTGTGGGCTTCTTGACGCTTGGGCCGCCGAATCTTGGGCCTCCTGAGCTCCTTGGGCTTGTTGGGCTTGTGATAGATTAGCAGGAGTCTGTGGGCCGGGGGTTCCCGGGCCATATACTCCATCAGGAGTCCCTCACTCCTTTTGCCGAAAGGTACTTGAGGGAAAAGGAGTAGAAGTGTTGATTCTTCCGGAGGCTCCATCGCCTGTTTGGGTGTCTTTGTTTGAGAATTTGCCTTCTGTTGATAGCCGAAGGCTTCCCTCAGTCCCTCACATGCCGAGGGTTTTCTGAAGGAAGTATAACACTTGTATGAATGCCGGAGCCTCTCCTCAGTCCCCCACATGTCGGGGGTTTTCTGAGGGAGGCGTAAATAATATCCGTATGTGTTGTGATGAAGGCTGTTTCATTATTGTCAGTGACTCTGTCGTTGATTTCTGACATTTTGCTTTGCCGAAGGGGGTAATGGTGTATGCACCCGAGGGCTACATGTGTTATTTGTAGGTTTCTCGTATGTGGGAATTTTTTGTTTTTTGGTCATGTGTGATTCCCGAGGGGTGTGTACCAGTCCCCCACTCCTTTAGGCCGAAGGCGAGTTCGGGCTGAAGGAGTTATAATGTGTTGTTGGGTTCCCCGAGGGGTTAGCCGAAAGCTAATACTATTGTCTACTCGGAGCCTCTCGCAGGTGGTAGCCGGGGGCTACCATCCAATATACGCGTCGAGGAGTGGCAATATTGACAGGCGAAGGCTCTTATTGCTGCCAGCTCGAAGGCACTATGTTGGAATTCATTGGCTGAGGGCTGTGGTGAGTGATAGCCGGAGGCTGTCATTCGAGGGCACTCCAGTGTTGCCGGAATATAGTCGTTGTAATATAGCCGTTGGGAGAGGAGTTGACGTGGCGTGTTCCCGTTGGCTGACGGGGGGCGGGTGCCATCCATTGGCTGAACCGGCGGCCCGTAATGATGGTTTTTTCAAACGGAGGCCCATATATCGAGGCCCATTCCCTATAAATACCCAAGGGCAGAGGTCATTCTCCTTGCGCGATTTTAAGCTATAGCGAAGCTCTGCCCAATTTTCTAGAGAGACAAAGTAATTCCTTTGATCAAAAGCGACTCTTGAGGTCAGTTCATCTTCAGTTCTTCGAATTCCTTAGCATATTTTGCTCTTCTCCTCTTAGATTTAGTGTTAGTGATTTCAGCGGCCCTCGGCTAGGACATTAAGCTAGCCCTCTTTCTTAGTACTCCCATCTTTAGTTGCGAAAGCAAATGTCTTCGCCAAGCGATTCCCAGAACATGTCTGAGGAGGCCCCGGTACCATCTGAAAGCTACTCGAGTGTGGAGTCATCAAGTGGGGAGGCTCCGTCCAATAATGATTCTGAAGTGGCGAGGGAGGTGCAGAGCACCCTTCATGCTGAAGCCGAAGCGGAGGACTTCGAGCGAGTCGTAGAGGACGAGGAGATGGCCCTCGCGCTTCAGGTAGCCGAGGAGGAGGAGGAAAAGGAGAGGCAACAAGTGACGGTTGCGATCATGCCTTCACGTGCTGAGGAAGCGAGCTGCTCTCGTCCTCTAAACCCCGACCCCATTCGGGTGGCTTCCGGAAAGAAGAAGAAAGGTGGGGCGGCTTCGAAGAAGAAATCTGCTGCCGTTGATGCCGGCCAGCCAGTGGGCATCCCCGAAGGGCATTCCTACCTGAATACTGACGCCCTCGAGTTGAAGACGATAGCCGTGGCTTCGGACTATCAGGCTACGCAACTTCTCGTAGGGCCCTCGGCGCAGGTCATTGAACCGGGCCCGGAGGATCTGTTATCTCATCCCCCCGAGGGGTGCTTTTCCGCCCACATTCTGTCCGTGGAACTCGGCCTGAGGTTCCCATTGCACCCCTTCGTCGTGCAATACCTCCGGTTCGTAGGGCTCGCCCCCTGTCAATTGACCCCCAACAGCCATTCTTACCTGGCAGGGTTTCTCTCATTGTGTGATTCTCGGGGGGTGGAGCCTACGTTGGACCAGTTTTTCCTGTCCTTCAACCTGTGCCGAGGGGGGGGCCGCCAATAGTGAGGGATTCGCCAACCTTCAGCAACTACCGGGATGGAGGCTGTTCTCGGAGGTGCCTTCATCCCACAAGGGATGGAAGGACAAATTCTGCTACCTTAGGGTGTTGGGGGCTGCCTTTCCGAGGCCCCTCCGAAACCACTTCCGAAGGCATCTCAAAGTTGGGAATGCTGCCCTCGAGAGCCAGGGGAGGAAGCTAACGGCGAAGCTTCCGGGTTCCGACAAGCTGATTACAATCAAGGCCGCCACGCTTCCGGAGGAACTGTTCAAGTTGGAATTCCGGCGATACCGCCTCCCAGGGGAGAAGGACGAGAGATACCCTCCCATCGACCGTGGCTTTCAGAGTGCCGGAGGTTTTGACCGAGAGCTGCTTGTTTTGTACTTTGGTTTTTTTTTTTTTTTTTTTTTTTTAACATCTACATCTGACCCTCTATTTTCCTTGCCCTGCAGGTCAAATCATGGACGTGAGCTCCTTTGCTGCGCTAAAGAAGAAGCTGGCCAAGGAGCCCAAAAAGAAGGAGGCGGGGAAGCAGAAACCCGTTGACGGCTTCTTCCCTAGGGTCGAAGGCCCCCTGCCGCAGGGGGAGCCAACAAAGGAGGTCGCGGCTGCTGCCGCAAATGCTGAGACCGGCGGTTCCCAAGCTGAGGAGCTGACGAGAAAGAGGGCTGGCAAAGCCCTTGCCCCTCCGGAAATGAAGAAGCAGAAAAAGGGGGCCGCCGGGAAGAAAGATGCCCCCATAATCATTGCCGGGGAGCAACCTTCCTTTAATCCTTCGGCGCACACCCCTCCTCGCTCCCCCCCGGCGCATATCAACGAGGAGGTTTGCCAGGCGGAGCTCATCCAGTTCCCCGTTAAGGCGGGGACCTCCGTTCTTCACGGCACACTCCACCCCGTCGGGTTTCTGAGGGGTGTGATGGCGTCGAAGGATAGATCAGTGTTGGCTCGTTATGAGGATGATATCCTCGACTACAAAGTCGCCAGCTACAGCACAATGGTAAACCCCCTTCCCACTTTAGTGTTTAATCAGTGGTTTCCCATGGCGTGCTTTGAATCTAACACTCCCTCTTTTTTTTGTTTACCCGCAGGCTGCCTTAGCTGCCTCCGAGCAGGCCCGGAGGGTTGAGCAGCTGAGGATAGCGAAGATTCAGGCCGATGAGGCTCTGAAGAAGGCCGATGTAGAGCAAGCGGCCCTCAGGAAAAAGCTTTCTGAAGCTGAGGAAGCCCTTCGGCTGGAGAAAGAGGGCACTGAGCAAAGGCTGAAAGATGCCGAAGCAAAGGGGAAGGCCGCCGCCGAGGAGGCTGCCGCCGCCATCGCCAGGACCGTTGCCGAGGCATCCGAAAATGAGAAGGCTGAAGCGATTGCTGATGCGAGGAAGGAAGCGGTTGAGGCTTTCCTTGCCGAGGGCTGGACGGCATCGGCCCACGAGGGGTGGGTGGCCTCCGTGGTGGAGCAGAAGGTTGACTCCTGGGTGAAAGGCCCCGGGGCCATGTGGCTAGCCCAGAAGGGCAAAGATTACTATGATGGTGGCGAGTTCTTTACCCAAAACCTGATCTACCGGCGGCTAGCCAGGCATCTCCACATAGAGCCGAAGGCATTCGACCCAGCTGCATATGGTCTCCCCCCTCTGCAGCCGGATGTAAGAGTTCCCCTCCCCGAGGGTGAAGAGAGGCCCGATCTGGAAGACTCGGAGTTGCTGCAAGGAGGCGATGATGAGGAGGCCGAGGATGACGCCACCTCGAAACCGAAGGAGGATCCTCAAGGGGCTGCCATTTAGGAATTCTGTCCCCTAAATTTTTGTAATAGATTAGAGGACCCATCGGCCTCGGCCAGTTGTAAACTAACAGCTCTGTATCTGAATTTTTTTTTTGTCGTTGATGAATGTTTGCCTTCGGGCCTTTTGAAAGAATGACTTCCGTCTTTTCATTCGTATGTATGTATGCTTTTGCCTCTTCCTAATGTTTTGTCAGGGTGCCAAAACTTGTGGACTTAGAAAATATTCTAAGTTGTACTTGGCCATAGCCTTCGGTTGTACCGTGGATTCGACGGGGGCTCACCATTGTTGACTTAGAAAATTTTTCTAAGTAAAAATTCCATTTGTATGCTCTCGGTAATGTACCCCTCTGTTCTTTGTCTGAAGGTATGCCTTCTCCCTTCCATATGCTCGTCAGAGGGCTAAGAGCTTGTGGACTTAGAATTTTTCTTAGTTAAAACATAATCAGGAGCCTTCGGTTCTAGGGCACAACCGTTGTTGACTTAGGAAATGCTTCAAGCTAGTTCACCCTAGGCCCTCAGCAATGTAGGTTTAGACTGTTGTTGGTTGAGTTGAGCATGCCTCCGGCTATCACTAGGTTGAAGATAGTGGAGTTCACGGGTATTTGCCGAAGAGTCCCAGATTGTGGACTTAGGAAATTTTCTAAGATTTGTTTTCAACAGATCGTGGGAGTGGCCCCCGTTTTGATGAGTGCCCTCCAATGTGTGGACTTAGGAATTTCTCCATCATTGAGTGGGCTTGGTAGTCTTCCGTATTTGGCACGAAGCCTCCGGGTTTGAGGTTGTTGTAGCCTGCCTTAGAACTTTATGGAGCCCTCGGCATGACACATAGTTGACTTCGATCCATCCACCCTTCGGCCTTAGCCAAATTTAGGTGAAGTTTTGCGTAGTGAGCCTTCTTCTTAGGCCTCCGGTGGAACTGCTGTACTACAAGGCTTTATGTAGTGGAGCCTTCGGCTATATAGTCAGATGACTTGTTGTTGAGAGTTTTTCTTGCGCCTTTGCAGGAGCCTTCGGGAATGTGTGTCCGAAGTGTTGAGCCTCCGGGGAGAATAGTATCCGGGGAGTTCCTTCCCTCCTACACATCTTTCTTTTTTTTCTTTTTTTTTTTTTTTTTTTTTTTTTTTCTTTTTTTAGATGGTGTAGGAGAGGCTTGGCCTATATGGGAGGCAACGGAACAAACCGTTGGCTCCCCCTTCGGGAATGACCTTCCGATATCCCGAAGGGTTTGAGGGTCGTTTCCTCGGCCCGAGACATCGTCTGTTGCCTGCTTCCCCTTGGGGGATAGCGCGGAAAGCGCCTCGGTTTTGAAAGTCGTCCCCTCAGCCCGAGACATGGTCTGTTGCCTGCTTCCCCTTGGGGGATAGCGCGGGGAGCGTTTCGTTTGTGGAAGTCGAATCCTGGGCCCGGGACATGGTCCGTTGCCTGCCTCCCCTTGGGGGATGGCGCGGAAAGCGTTCCTGGGAAGGGTTTTATTTGCGTGTGGAACACAAATAGCCGGGGGCACTTGGTACCAACCGGAGCCGAGGGGTGTTGCACCCCCCGGTTTTATTTTTTTTTTTTTTTATTTTTTTTTTTTTTTTTTTTTTATTATTATAAAGAGGATATGTAAAAGTCTTTGAAAACACTTGGTGTTTTCAAAGAGTGATGGGGGTGACCCATACACTTGGTACTTGGTACCTAAATTGTTGTTCCCCCTCGTGAGAGGGAGAGGCCTTGGGCCTATCTTGGTGAAGCGATGAGGGCTTGGCCACTCATTTGCAGGAGAGAAGGGGGGGTCTTGGGCCGCTTGTACAATATGTAGGTGATGAAGGCTTGGCCTTTTGATTATTCTTCAAAAACAGATGGGGCCTTGGGCCATTGATGTTTACACTTGCTGAGGATGAGGGCTTGGCCGCTCATGCCTTATTGATAGAATTTGACAAGGTGGTGCACATTCCAATGTCTAGGGACCTCCGTCCCATTGGGGCGTTTAAGCTTGTATGTCCCTGGTTTGATGATGGCTGAGACAATGTAGGGGCCTTCGAACTTAGGCGCCATCTTGCCGCCTTCGGTGGGTAGACTGGCCTCCCTTCGCCGGAGGACGTAGTCTCCCACCTGGAATTCCCGGGAGCGGACCTTGGCGTCGATGTATCCTTTGACTTGTCTCCTATAGTTTTCGGCCTTGAGGAAAGATTGCTCTCGGCGTTCCGAGATGAGATGAAGGTCGAGGGCCATGTTGGCGTCGTTGGCCTCGGGCTCATATTGTTCCACCCTTCGGGTGGGAAGGGTCACTTCTGTTGGAGCCTTTGCCTCAAAGCCATAGCATAGGGAGAAAGGGGTCTCACCTGTTGCACGCCGAGGGGTGGTGCGGTAGGCCCATAGGATGTTATGAAGCTCTTCTACCCAGCCTCCCCCTTCGGCTTCCAGTTTCTTCTTCAACCCCTCGAGGAGGGTGCGGTTGGCATTCTCTACTTGCCCGTTGCCCTGAGGGTAGGCAACGGAAGAGAATGTGTGCTTGATGCCCCAAGCTTCAAGAAGGGCGCAGAAGGGGGCTGCCTCGAATTGAGTCCCATTGTCGGAGATGATTTGTTGGGGGACGCCAAACCTTGTGAGAATATTTTTGAGGACAAAGTGGCGGCACCGGGCCTCGGTAATGCTGGCGAGGGGCTCGGCCTCTACCCATTTGGTGAAGTAGTCGATGGCCACAATAATGTACCTGTTGTTGGAGGTACCCCTCGGCAGAGGGCCTACTAAGTCAATCCCCCACCTGGAGAAGGGTATAGCGGTGCTGATGGGGGCATAGTTAACCGCTGGTCTGCCGGGGGCTTTCTGAAAGTGTTGGCAAGCGGTGCACCTCCGGGCTAGATCAGCACAATCTCTAGCCATCGTGGGCCAGAAGTAGCCTTGAACTATGAGCCTTCGGGACATGGAGAAAGGTCCCTGGTGAGCTGAGCAAGTGCCACTGTGCACTTCCTCCATGGCGATTTCGGCCTCGTCTTGATGAAGGCACCGAAGGAGGGTGCCGTTGTAAGATCTCTTGTAAAGCCTCCCGTTTTCGATGGTGTAGCTGGGAGCCCTTAGCTTTGCTAACTTGGCGCGGGCTTCGTCTTGGGGCAGTTGCCCTGTGGTGATGAAGGCGACGATGTCGGAGATCCAATCTTCCGGCCTTAGGTTAATGCTCATGACGGGGCTCGCGTGGATGCTTGAGAGGCTGAGTTCCTCAATTCTCGCAATTTTGGAAAGGTGCTCGGGGGATTCATCCGAGAGCTTGGATAGAATGTCGGCCTCAGAGTTTTGAGCCCTCGGTATCTGGGTGAGGGAATGTGCCTCAAATACCTTAAACAATTCTTTGGCTGCTTCCTTGTATTGCTTCATCCTTCCTTCCTTGGCCTCATATTCGCCGGAGAGTTGGCCTACGACTAGCTTGGAGTCGCACTTGACGTGGATTTGTTTGGCCTTCAGATTTGCGGCCAGCCGAAGGCCACAGAGCAGGGCCTCATATTCGGCTTCGTTGTTGGAGACTTTGAAGGAGAATCGGATGGCGTAATAGGCGCGGAAGCCCTCGGGTGTGATGAGAACTACTCCCCCTCCGCATGCTTTGGTAGCCGAGGAGCCATCGGTATAGAGGGTCCACCACTCATCGAGGGGTGCCGAAGGCTCCTCATCCACCGCTGATCTTGCGGTGCATTCCGTTACGAAGTCTGCCAGGGCTTGGCCCTTGATGGCAGGCCTCGGACGGATATCTATGTTGTATTGGCTGAGGAAGATGGCCCACTTCACCATCCGAGAGGAGCTAGTGGGACTCCTCATGAGGGCGCCGAGGGGTTGATGAGTGAGCACTTGGACCGGATGAGCTTGAAAGTAGTGGCCAAGCTTCTTGACGGTCCAAACGATCGCCAGCACTGTCTTCTCGACGGGAGAATACCTGAGTTCGGCCTCCCGGAGGGTTTTGCTGACGTAGAAGATGGCATGTTGGATGCCGTCTTCCTCTCGGATCAGTACTGAGCTGATAGCCGCAGGGCTAACACCGAGGTATAAGTATAAGGTCTCCCCCACCTTTGGTTTGGAGAGCACTGGGGGAGAGGAGAGGTACTTCTTGAGTTCGTCGAAGGCCTCTTGACACTCAGATGTCCATTGGAAGCCAGCTGTCTTCCTCATGATTTGGAAGAAGGGGAGGGCCCTCTCGGCTGACTTAGAGAGGAATCGGTTGAGGGCCGCCAGGCGACCCGTCAGCCGCTGAACTTCTTTGACGTTGCGTGGAGGCTCCATGTTGATGATGGCCTGAATCTTCTCGGGGTTGGCCTCAATACCCCTTCGGCTGACCATGTAGCCCAAGAATTTTCCTCCCTGCACGCCGAAGGTGCATTTCTTCGGATTTAGCCGGAGGTTGAATTTTTGCATGATGGCAAAAATCTCCCGGAGGTCGTCGGCGTGAGTGCTTGCCTTCTTACTTTTGACGATCATATCGTCAACGTAAGCCTCCATGGTGCGTCCCAGGACAGCTTGAAAGACCCTAGCCACCATGCGTGTGTAGGTGGCGCCTGAATTTTTGAGGCCGAAGGCCATCACAAGATAGCAGAAGATGCCTTCGGGTGTCATGAAGGCAGTTTTTTCAGCGTCTTCCTCATGCATGTAGATTTGATGATACCCGCGGAATGCGTCGAGGAAGGACATAATCTCGCATCCCGCGGTCTCATCCACAAGTTGATCGATGTTCGGCAGAGGGAAGGGGTCCATAGGGCACGCCTTATTCAGATCCGTGTAGTCCACGCACATGCGGAAGGTAGGAGGCTTCTGTGCGAGGACTACGTTTGCCAGCCAAGAAGGGTATTTCACCTCTTTGATGTGCTTGATGGAGAGGAGCATAGATACCTCCTTCTTTACGAACTCCCTTCTCTCGGCCGAGAGGGGTCTTCTCCGTTGTTGTACTGGCTTGGCCGAAAGGTCCACCGCAAGGCGGTGGGTGATAACCCTTCGGTCAATTCCTGGCATATCCTCCGGCCCCCATGCAAAAACAACGGAGTAGGCGCGGAGAGCTTTGGTGATGCCGGTCTTCAAGTCTTCGGGGAGATTGGCTCCGATCTTCA